TCCCTCCATCCCCACGTTCCTAATTTTGTGTTTTCTTAATCCAGCCTCATTTTTGGGAGGAAAAAATCCACCTTACCTGTATTTTCAGCTCTTTCAGCGTCTGATTAGCAGAAACGAGCAGAGCTTTCTCCCCTCGGACTTTCCGGTGCCGGGTGCTCCGCCTGATGCCTTGTTTTTGGTAAGTGACGTAGCTCTGGTGCGAGACCTTCTGGCGCTTCGCACCGCCGTTGGTCTAGGAATAAGGAAGGGAAAAAAAAAAATAAATCGGGGGGAAAAAACATATCCCTGAGTCTGGGATTGCTGGAGAAATACAGCCTCCCCCGGCCACCCTGGACCGCGTTCCGGGCGAGCGGGCGACGCGAGGGAAGGCACCAAGTGCTGAAAGCCCCTTTGGAAACCGCTGGAGCACCGAGCAGACCAAAGGATTTTGCCATGAAACCTCCGTTCCCGCTGGGAACGTGAGCGCCGGGTGGATTAACCGGTGTCAAGATCTGATCTTGCCAAAAACCGGAGCGAGGGTGCGGTACGACCGGGAAAAACGACAACTGAAGACAAATCCTGACATCAGGATGACGCAAAAAAAAAAAACCATCGCAGGACCTGGTGGTGTTTTCCATCTCTACCTGGTTAAAATCCGGGTCCTGCTCTCCCTCTGGCTTGTTCTCCTCCCTTTCCTCTTCGGCTTCTGAGCTGCTCACGTTAGCAGCATCCTTCATTACCTGAAGTCATAAAAACGGATTCTCCGTAACTACCTCGACGGCCTCGACCCGGACCCTCACGGCACAGCAAACAGCTCGGAGCCTTGCAAGGATGCCGACCCTCGATCCAAGGAACCGAGGCGCAGCGGGAATAACACAAGTCCTCTGCAAAGTCTTCTCCACCCCTTCCCCAGCTGCATCGAGCCACGGAGGGGACCAGCTCCGGAGAAGAAGCTTCTCTATCGAATTGCAGGTGCTTCCTGCGGCTCAGGACCTACGCTCCTCTCCAGGCAAAGGGAAAGACTCCAGGGACCGGGATTGATTCCTTTCCCATTAGCTGGCTGCTTCTCTGGTTCATTTAAGTGTGTTACGAAAGCCCTAACGCGGAGAAGGGAATATTATCTGCAAATTAAGACACTTATCCATCCCTGCAGCAGACCGACGGAGGCACTCGGCACCGTTATTGATGGGTCTGGAGGTTGGAAGTAAATGAAATCTAAATCATTTAAGCAAAACACGGAAATAAAAAGGACGTTTGGTGCCAGGAGGCACGGCTGGATCTGGATGAGGCTTTGGCTGGAGCCAGGGTTTGCAGGAGGGCAGGAGATCAGCACGTGCTCTCCGTCCTGCATGGCTCACGAGCTCAATTCTCCGTCGAAGTATTTGCAATTACCGCTGCGATCGTGGCGCCCGGCCAGCCGGCGCCAACCGCAGCCTCCCCGGAGCCCGGCGGATTCCGGCAGTGCCACCCTACGCCCGTTTGATACGGCTGTGCCCTCTCTCTCACAGCGTCAGCTGAAGGAGGCATCCGGGGGGAAAAGCAGGAGCGAGGG